GGGGGGGGGGGGGGGGGGGGGAGAGGAGACGAGGGAATGGGGGCCAACTGCACGAGTCGGCGACCCTTATGTGTTGCGCGCATGCACGTAGTCACGGCATGTATGCACATAGGTATGCAAACGAGACGTAGGTAGAAAGAGAGAGGCAACCGGAGAGATCAGGGGAGATCAAGAGAGAGAAAGAGAACTAGAGGGATAGTGTAAGCTGCTACTGCGGGGATCCCCGTTCCGGAAGACCGTAATGAATCGTACGCGGAAGAAGAGTGGGACATTGTTGAGAGGGTTGCATGAGATTATCATAATTCCAACCTACAGTTGGGACCTACATTCGTCCCACGTCTACCTACATCCTAGAGACGATAACTAACCAGCGCGACAAGAGACTTGAGGTAGCCTGACGAACGTCCGTGCCGACCGACTGTACGGTCGATCCGAGTATGCAAAAGGGGAAGACGGGGAAAGGAGCGCGGTGGTGAAAAAGATGCAAGTAGAACAAAACGAAAAGAAAATGACGTCTCGAATACGGTAGGAGACGAACGGCGAGTAAAAAGCGAAAGAGGCTAGGAACAAAAAGAATGCTCGGAGGACTTCGTCCCAATTGGCAAAGAGCACGGCTTCTTCCAAGGTAGAACAATGAAGACCGTGATCAAACCAAAGGTGGGACCTTGGGCGCTGGATGGGACTTAACCGTGACACCGAGCTAATCTCTTCAGGAGAGATGCCTCTGCCTGCGTAAGAGGAGACTCAATTGGATGATTCAGGTAGTAGAGCATGCCAGGAGTACGTACTCGTGTCACTACTCCCTGGGATAGTATCTCACTGCGAAAAAAGGGGTTGAAAAGCTCGAGGCACGAGAAACGTGCAAGTTGCGTTTAGAAACGTTTATAAAGGGACGGACGGACAGGGTGCGAGAGAGATGAACGGAATGGATGGATGAACAGAGCTGCTAGCCCTCTTTGAAGCGAACTTCACGCGCCAACCAAATAGACCCTTGCTTTAGGTTCTATATTGCACAATCCCTCTATTTCAATTTATATCAAACTCCGTCTCTTTGTTTTTAACGCTAATCGACAGCTACTGGCGCCATCTTGATTCATATAGAATACGACGGCGGCACAGACCTGTCCGAACTTGTTTTCGGTGGTCTCGTCAGCCCGAGCAGGTCTTAAGGAATGATTCACGCCGAACTCGCCGCATCGCTTTGAGCCTGAATTCACCTCGATACGTCTCGTTACTTTCCCGACACGTCCGAGAAGCACGCGGTAGCACAAACATTTCACGTTCCAGGATGCCTTAGCATGCTAAACGACGCGCCCGTCTCTCGCTACTTTCGCAATCTCGCCAATGTACCGGAGAGTCTAATCTATTCCAGTGGAAAGAGGCAAACCGTGCCGCTTCTTGCCACTCTGGATACACACCGTAGGACGTGAGATCGAATTTATGCACTTATAGGTATAGTATGTCGAAAGATTTCGTGCATTTAAATCGAAATGGTTACGAAAAATTGTGTTCCGCTCGAGACGAAAGGAATGGAGCGTGACAAGGAAATCGTGTCTATTATCACATACACATATATCTACTCATACAAGTATATATACGTGGTTGACTCTGACGTGCATATACCGGCTATGTAAGAAAGGCCAAGGAGGCACGAGCTCGGTTCGGATGAGCAAGAAACCTTCGGTCCAGTGTCTCGGTCGAAGCAGCTGTGCGTTAATCTTTTCCGCAAAGGAAGGAGGTCGAGTACGGTTACCAAGTAGAGGCTGTGCACGTGCGAGCGAGGGTGGTCACTCTTCCGGGAGGGATTAGATGGAAGGGGAGGTCCAGATGAGAAGGACGAGAAGGTCGAGAAGGTAAGAGAGGAGGTGCGTCAGGGCGAGGCTGCTCTCAATAAGTACCTACGATGTACTCGTGGGAAGGGCGAGGCTTCTCGGTAAGATTTGCTTGCACAGCTAGAACGGTAATGGACGATTCTAATTTTCTCATGAGAATCCCTCTTGCGGCTGAATACAATCGAGGCGACACGTGGAGAATGTCTGTAAAACGGGGGCATGCCCTAACACAGTACGTATTCTTCATTTAATTTATGAAGTTAAGGATAAGTGTGAGAAAGTTAATGAGAGCCAAGGAGAGATCTGGGACACGAGGAATTCACGCAGTGTGAAAATTCAAAAACAGAGAAATCCTGTCGGTATTATCTTCGGGAAGATCCAAGGATGAGAAGTCTCGAGGTCACTCAGGATCCGGTGTACCTCTGTACGACCTCGGTGAAACACAAGGATCCTGACGAGCAGCTCGCGCTAGAATCTCCTTGGAGATTCTGAACAGCTGGAATGCTATAGTACTTCTATGGCTTGACTATCTATCCTTTCTATATAAACTACTGTACTGTTACCCACGTTTGGTCGACCTTCCGCCATGTTGGGGTTACAGAAGGATAAGAAACTCGAGGATTCACGGAATCTCTGCGCTGGAGATCAATTTCAATTGAAAATAGAGGAGTACCTGGTCTACGGATAGATAACGCACACCTACAATCGGAATAGTAACTACACGGTGAGCTCCGAGGTATAGTAAAAGGAAGGTAAAGAGAAGGGCCGTGGGCGCGGAACGAGGGAAGAATTTCGTGATGGCCGACTTGGTATAGGGCCGACTGCGCCGTAAAGACTCTAAAGTTTTCGTTACGAGCGGAAGGAGAGAATTTCTACGAGGGTAAGGGACCAGGGGAATATCTCTCGAAGCCTGAAGAAGTTTTGAGGTTCGTGTAAGGGATAGAAGGAGGGAAAGTACCAAGGAACTACGAAAGGAGTGGTGAGACATGGTGTGAGTGAGAGAGAGAGAGGAGAGAGAGAGGAGAGAGAGAGAGAGAGAGAGAGAGAGAGAGAGAGAGAGAGAGAGAGAGAGAGAGAGAGTCTCTGAAAACGTGAACCTAGGACCCGTGGGATGGGCGAGGTTGGGTCCTCTCTCACGGATACGAATCCAAGAATCTAGGACTGGAATGGCTGGTGTTGTATGCTCTGGTCTTTCTTTTCTTCGTGTACCCGTGTCGGTTTGTGCCAGTGATGACCATTGCGTCATAGCGAGTACAACCGTCTTGTACATGTTACTAGAAGTTGTTTAGCTTTAAGTTCAACGTAACCCGGTGGTGCACGTTCAAAGTTACTGAAAGCAATTTTATACAGACTGGACGATTGCTCCTGTGGATTGAGACTGCGTGACATTTTCAAACGTCAATTTACTTGTAGAAAAGAAAACTAATTAAAACTAAAATATCGATTGAAAAGCCTTGCCCGGCAGTGAGTCGCCTTAGGTTCGCTTTTTTAAATCTAGAAAGTCGCATTGTCACACCCCGATGAGCATTCAGATTCGTGTGAAATAATAATCAAAGGAGCGTGTAATTAATAAGAAATTCTACTCAATGAATGTATACAGTTTCACATAATCGAGATAGTGCATCCTTATCAGCTGTAGCAATAACATGGTTCCCACACAGAAAATCCTAACACATTGTTTGAGGTTAACGACAGAAAGCAGGCCATTGAAAGTGAGAGAGTTCTTCGTTCTCTGTATACTATTATATCTCCACTATGCTTTTTGTTCGTTTACAAATAATTCACCTAGTACATCTATTTCTTGACCTTCCCTCTAAATCCTTTCTAAGGCTGTTTTGAATAAAAGAGATAAGAGCTTGGTTCCAAAGGATTCCAAAAGGGAGCAGCAACGGTCATCCCCAGTGATCGTCTTTCCATCTCGAATAAGCATGCTTACCCTTACTATCATGAAATCACAGCAACACGTGATCCCCACGCGCTCTGACTACTTCAGAGTTCTATTTAAATTGCCAGGCGTACCATTCTGAAAGAAGTGAAGGAAATGGCGGGTGGAGAAGCACTGAGAAAAAAAAAAGAATCACGGTAAGGGGATGCACATTGCCTATCCCTAAGTTGATGGAAATGATGTCATAATGGGGCAAAGCCATTCTCAACTCCAAAAAGACATCCCCATCAGAAAGAGAATCGATAAGGATATGACGTATAAACAGGTTTAGCGGGAGTCTAGAAGATGGAGTACAACATACCTAAGCAGCGCCGTCTTAGTCCCACGGGGAATCAGATCCTGATTAGAAGAGTGGATGCTGGAGTAAAATCAGTCATACAGCCCCAATGTCGTACGGATGTCACTCTGAGGATGTGCGTAGCAACGTGCACCAATTATTCACACACTTGGCACGCACAGGATCTGTTACACACACTGTCGCGGTTCAGAACTTCACTTATCGTTCTTAGGAAGAACGGCACTGTTCACTGTTACTCGAAGACACCGTATGCACCGAATGACCTTTGAACCAGGCCAATAAGAACTTAGTTACCTTCCTCTGTTCCGCTTGCTGAGGAAGTCAAAGGATAGCTCTGATTCTGATATTACAATCTCTAGGAGGGTCCTTTTAGACGCGCAGAATCATCCTGTTTATTCCTTCGATTTTCCGTATTTAAATGCTTTATCCTTTGAGCAAGTTTACACTGGACGAAAGCTGGTTGATATTTTGAGAAATCTCGATGCAATTCTGAGCCAGCAAGGTATGTACCTAGAAACATTAATATATCCTGTATCTCATATATTTCGTTAGAGTTTATCGTTTGTTATGAGATCATCAAACTATGGCCGATATCGATAAGATCCGTTTATCACAACACGTTGATACAAAATTATTAGTTAGGTTTCGCGTTTGCAACTTTTATTCACTCTCTTCTCTCCTGTTACTCGTCCTATTCGAATGCATGAAACTAGTGTAGCGTCGTGGTTCAAGTTAAACAGGATATTCCTGTTGGAAAACTGTTAGGTAGGATCATGCAAACCGTTGACATCCCGAACAGTCGTGTTGTGTCGCTCCTTGGAAAAAAGGCGTGCACGATTCAAGCCTGTGATAACAAATAGGATGCATGCCGCATTGGCGCACTAGCGCATCATCCTGGACGTTCAGAAAGGGCCTTGCTAGGTTATGCCCTGCCTCGGCGGAACTCTCTCGAGTTGGAGACGCTCGTAACAACGCTCAAGAGAGAAAGAGAGTGAGTAAGTGAATGAGTGAGTGAGGAGGAATGATAGAAGGAAAGAAAGAGAAAGAGAGATAGAAAGAGAGACCAAGACGAAGTCACAGGGAAGGCCGGGATATCGAGGTGGAAAGACACAGAGGAAGAGTGATGCTCTGCCTCCCACAACACACCGACACTCTCTCTCACTGGCTCGTACTACCAACTCTGCCTCCTCTTCTTGCTCCTCCTTACAATACTACAACTACTTCTTGGTCTTCTTCTTCGTCTCCTTTTCTGGTTCCACTTTTCGTCTTGTGCTCCTATTCCTACTATTCCCTTGCCTACTCCAGCGACACCTCCTTCGTTCCTCTAGTGAACCACTAAACTCTTCACTGCTCCTCACCGTTTCTTCAGTACGTGGAAACTCACGAAAACATGGCTAGCCGGTTTCCACTTTGCGTCCAGTGTCCTCCTCCTATGGCCCGGTCCGCCGCGCATTCCCGTGCCTCCGCGGCGCTAAAATGGCGATCGAAGTGACAGCTTGCCTCACCGGACCTCCCCGAGAGCCACGGCCCACGAGAGTGGCCCTTCGGCCACGATTCCTGCCTGTGCCCGGCAGGTCTGTACGTTTTACTGAGTTCCTCCCCGGTTAACGAGGCTCCCTTTTGACACGTTACGTTACGTATTCACCGCGCACCGTGCCTCCTTTCGATGGGATGGCGGCTCGGCCCGGACGCTACACCACCGTACTAAGTCTCTCTGCTTGCCCGGACTCACGGGACTCGACTGGGCTCCCCTAGCCGCGTTCCACGCACTTGCGCGACTCCACTCCTCGTACTATCCCTGCCTATCCTTCAACTAACCATACTGCACACATTCGGCTACCCCCAGTCTGCGTGTACTACTCATTCTACCAAAATTAAACCACCCAGCTCCCACGCCCGCAGGCCAACCAACACCCTGCTTCTGTTGGATTTTATTCGCAGATTTCTTCCAATCTCCTTTACCTTCTCTGTCTGGAGCATCGGTCCTGTATGCTCCTTTTTGATCTTTGATCATTTCTCCTCCCCATATGCTGATAGACTCCAATCAAACTGACAAAGGAGCAGAAAAGGTAATGTAGATGGCGCCTTTGTCATATCCGGGACGACAGCTGAGACGTCGACTCGTTTCATTCATCGTTATGAGTGTCACTGGTTCTTTTGGAGTAGTAAGGAATAGGTGCATGAGAATTGCGATACGAATGGATCTAATGTCAGAGACTTTAGCATACTCTAGGCTTTAGCTAATTCGCGTGCGCCTACTCCCTGCTATTCTCATGCTAACAGTGGTTCTCCATTTTTTTCTAATTTGTTCCTCCTCGGTCGCTTCTACAATTGTAAAGTCTGGCTTATTGTATCCGGTGAGTGGGATGGACAAAGTACGCCGAGTAGCATAAAGGAGGAATTGGTTGGCCGCTCTTGAGAAGTCAATGAATGGATTACGCTTCGTGGACTAATAGACCATTCTGACAGCGTTACAAGCACTGTCTGCTGGACTGTACGCAGGAAAACTTTGATCAGCCCTTCAATAATCCTCCGTGTTCTAGACAAAACGATTTTATATAACAGCAAAATTATTTATTAGAGAGAAACTTTCTTATCCATTCAATTCTATTTCAGAATGAGATGTTTCAAATTAATCAAACTGATAACGAATCTATGAATTTTTCGATTATCGCTGTACCTCATCATGGACGCTGTTTTGCGAATTTCTTTGATATGGTTTTCGAAACGAAAGTCCACCGCAATTGATGGCCATTATAAAATATGATGAGGACATGGTCGAAGCCGGTTAGCCGAATGCGTAAAGTTCTATTACGAAAATCAGTACTGAAACGAGATACGAAATATCACAGTATTTGCACCTAACTCAATACGCAATACTAATTAAATCAGCTTAGCCGTCAGTCATTGCATTACACGACTGTTTATCACTCGCTATTCATCATATAATACACTACACGTACCTACCTATATGGCAAAGTAATTAAAACATTAAATACGGTCTAGCAGCGCTATACAGTTCACAGACCTCTGCATATACGTTTACATTATTATTCGGATAATACAAAAAAAAAATATTATCCTTCAGTACGCATTTTGCGTTTCGCATTAATATTAGGGAATGTGTAATTAACAATGTGAGAATCTCTTATGAAGCACTTATCATGGCGTGTATTATAATATGCATGGAAGTTAATGAACACTCCATGCCGCTTTATATCATGATGGACATCGTACATAAGTAAATACTCTGAAATTGTAGAAATTAGTTCTCTAGCACGAGACCGTCTATCTCCATGATAATTAAGTTTTCACTTGGTTCATTTAATAATCTATGCGATATGTAAAGTGCATTTTAGTTGACTACGATGTGACTCGAAGTATAACGTTCCTGTAACAGTTTATAATTTGTAGGTTTCGTGTTTCATAAATTCTTTGAACTTCAATAATGATGTATCTCGTTCAAGGATGTAAATTTCAGCAATAAGGGTTAGACTGCGATAAACTAACTCGGCATTAGGAATCAACTCCAATTGCGGTAATGAGTGAGAACTATTTCAAAGCTACGTCACGTTTCTAATTAATTCCGAGCCCAGCTCCTATCCGATAACCTTCTGACACGCCAAATGACATTACTTAAACCCAGCGGAAGTGGAACTATGTAAGTACAATAGTTTATTAATTTTTTAACAACAGTAATACAACCGACTGTAGTATGCTCCATTTGACCTGTACTTCTATTAATTACGTTCTCACACCTGTTAAATCACACCACTTGCTGGCCTATTGCGGTTCGCTTTCATTTTCACTGAGATTCACCATCCCAAATTTCTAGGCAACATTATTCGCGAGATTATTTTCTCCGGCTCCTTGTGGCTCTGAGCGTGTATCAATTAACTTTGCCATGGTTTAATTTATTCTTACGACTAGAATTCCTCGCCTCGCCTTCGCCAACTTTAGTTGATTTTCAAGAGGCACAAACTTCCTTATCTCGTTCATTTCCCGTCGCCATGCGGCGACTCCTGCTTTACTCCACTTTTTCTTTATCACGGTTATCTGTTAGAATTGTTATTCATATACGTTATACTCTTATCAGTTATTTTTTGTTAATTAACGCTTCATGTATTCTCGAAAATATGACGCATGCATGAATTCCTTTATGACTGTAACTTTTTCTACTTTTTTTTATATATTTATCGTGATTTTCATTAGACATGGTTTATACCACTATGTGCGATTTTGAAATTTACCACGACCACATTTACATATTTCAAATTTGATTTCAATTGTTCCATTTTTAAATAATTTCTGAGATTGGAGTATACTCCACTTTTAGTTAAATCAATGTCCCACGTTATGTTATCGTGTTACATTGCATTAATTTTTTGCAATACTGCTTCCCCATTCTTGATTGATAATAATTTTCCTTACCTTTAAATTTAGATGCTTTTCATTGACCGATCATGCATCTGGCATTTAGATGCCTAAAACTGCTAGTGCGAGGCAACACGTGTTATGCACATTTATAGGGTGGACCATAAAAACGAAGGAGGTTTCAATGACGGTACCAGGCTGCCAAGACTGTGAAAACTGTAAAGTGATGCTGTACATTTACTAGCGCTTTATTGCTTTAAAAAGTGCCTGAACTTGTAAAGTTGCGTTTCTGTAGCTATTACGTCCAAATATAAATACTGTAGATTCTTCGGATCGGGTTCAGCATTTGTCACTGCAGTTTCTTTATACAACCATGCCGCTGCTCGACTTCCAGATTCCACTCTAATTCTTATAGACAGACGACCCGTTGCTGCTAGAAGTTTCTTTTGGATTCGCAGTCTCAATAGGTCAATACCTGTTAAATTCACAATTTAATAACCCTAGCGACAAATAGGATAAAAATTCTTTCCGTAAACTTCCTTAACCATAAACATTACCTGTAAAATTGACTGCCGATACCGGTAAGACTTCGTTTGGAATACCATCTGGTTTTGCAAGATCACATTTGTTTGCTACATCTATTATTGGTCGTTCATCGTCGATTAAATTTTTTATTGTTCGATGAACATGGTCAAATTGTGCTCGACTATCAGGATGACTAACATCGTGCACGTGAACTATCACGTCCTGAAAATAATAAATTTTGCAACGTACTTTAAGAATGTATACATGTTGAAAAATTACCGCAATCATGGCGTCCTCCAATGTGGCTACAAAAGGTTCTATGAGAGCTTCTGGCACATCTTGAATAAATCCTATTGTATCCATGTAGAGCACTTTTAATCTACATGGTAGTATTCCTTCGTGAGCAGTCGTATCGAGTGTTGCAAATAAATAATTTTTTGGTTCCAATGAGTCATCACCAGTTAAAGCTTTTATTAAAGACGTTTTTCCAGCATTTGTGTACCCCACTACAGCTACACTAGGTATAGAGGATTTTTGTCTACTAGACCTTAGTAACTCTCGATGGCCTTTTAATTTCTTCAATGCAGTTTTTAATTTCACTTCGCGAGCTTGGAGCAGTTTTCTCCTAGATTCTATTAAATTTATCTGCCCACCACGCTGATCCGCTATTGTATTTATTTTGCTCCAAAAGTATGGAATCTCTGCTAAAGCTACTTGCAATTTCGCCTCACGACTCTTCGCATGAGCTCTAAATATCTGAATGACTATTCCATAGCGATCATATACAGGAACTCCCAGAGCATTTTGTAATTCAATTAACTGCACTTGTTTTAGCACATTTGTACTTATGAACACAGCAGTGACATAATTATTACTGCGAACCTTTGTTTTCAAAGTTTCTAAACTTCCTGACCCAAGCAATCTTTTTTTCTGCAAAGATAACAATGGAGCAAACGATCTTTCTACAACTGACCAATTAGGCAGAGTTCTGATCAGTGCTTCTGCTTCAGCTAATTGTAATTCTGGTGTTGTATTTCTTTTCTTATCTCGACCCCATTTTATATATGGTTGAACAACAAATACTCTATGACCTGCTATAGCTTTACCAAGATATTGTGCAGACATGGTATCATACATTTCATTTTCTTGTTCGTCATCTTCTAAATCTGGTAGTTCATGTCTAAATCTTGAAATTATGATCTGAGGTATATATGTATTACTTCTACAGGTGATCCTTAGTTTACAATAATTAGATGTTCTCTTGGTTATTAAACATGCCAGTTTCCTAACAAATTGCATGTTGATTTTCCTCAAACAGTTTCTACCCAAACGTAAACCAAATATTCACTGTTCAACACACCCTTGTAGTTTTCTGTGGCAATTCATCAGGCGGACAATAGGCCATTTCTATCTTTAAAACAAGCAATGATAAAGTACCACAACCTACCAATGCCATCAAGGATTGGCTTTGGATTGTTATAGGTATAATTTTAATATATTTCAGAGTAAGAGGAAGAAAAACTCCTACAAGAAGAATATTTATTATAAGTATGGCAATAACGTGACTTCTTGGAAGGACAGTTTAAAACAAAAAACAATTATAACCTATTACACCTGCGAGCACACTGTGGGAAAGAGCAGTAGCAGTACATTCTACTCTTGCATTAGTTCCAAAGACGTCTATTCTTGTGCGATCAACTTTCTTAGACATCCTTTTATTCTTAAGACAAGAATAAAAGTTACAAATCAAATTCTTTATGCCACATGCGGTCAGCCACGCGCACTAATCGCAAAATATAGTTACAGCAGACTCTATCACATGGGATTCTCCAGGCTTGCGTGACGCCGTATCCACAAAATGTTAGTATATTTATCCTTTTAGTTAACGATATTATTTACAGTCGGTAGCTGTGGCGGTAGTTACTTTGGCACTTACCTCGCATTGAGAGGGTAAAGTAGTTTCAATAATGTTAAATCAGACAATATAATGAAAAACATGCAGGACCAAAAACGTTTGAAGTTTCAGTCCAGCTGATAAGTTTGTGTTAGTACACCTCATATGTAGTGGAATTGTTCTACCATGTTCCACGGTGACATCAGCTAAGAGCAATAACGAGGCCTCCACCTCGAAATAGTGGTACGGTTTCTCAGGATTCCTTTGATGAATACAGTGTATTCTGTATTCTTTGCAAGCAATCAAGAGTATACGTCGATATGCATGCGTATCGATATGCGCTGACATAGAATAAGACCTGCTGGACCAAACAAACGCAGAAATATAATTTCGTAACTATCAGTTTTGATAGTTTTTTAAAAATACTTTTGGACAGTGAATGTATTACCAAGATAAATATGAGTGATCAGCACTTAACAAGTTTGATCAAGTGGTTGGATACCTTCAACCTACAAGCCTCTCACGGCTCAGCTGAAGATATAAGTGATGGAGTTGCACTTGCTGAAGCATTAGCTCAAATAGCACCAGAATGGTTTACAGCAGCTTGGCGAGCTAAGATCAAAACAGACGTAGGTACAAACTGGCGTCTAAAGGTATCCAATTTAAAGAAGATTGTTGAGGCTGTTACTGAGTACTATGTAGAATGTTTAAATCAACAACTTGCTGGATATGTTAAGCCAGATGCTACTAAGATCGGAGAGCATTGTGATAATCAAGAGTTGTGTCGATTATTACAGCTTGTTTTAGGATGTGCTGTTAACTGTAATCAGAAACAACAATATATAACTCGTATTATGGGAATGGAAGAAGCTGTCCAACAAGTTATTATGCAGAGTATACAAGAACTGGAAGGAAGTATGCATGGCCCTAGGCTTAGTCTTGGCGCTAGTCTCAATTTTGAAACTTTGGATTTAGGAGACAGTGCTCAACAGAGATTATTAGCAGAATTACAAGTTGCAGTTGATACCAGGGACCAATTAGCACAACGATGCCATGAACTTGATCAACAACTATCCCTTCTGCAAGAGGAAAAAGCAAGTTTGATGGTAGAGAATAAAAAACTACAAGACCGCTTAGAAGAATTTGAAAATCCTGAGGACACTGGATCTAGTTTAAAATATTCTGGTCTCCGCAAGCAAGTTGAGGCACTGAAGGATGAAATGTTTAAAATGGAAACGTCGAGAGACGATTACAGATTGAAAGTGGAACTCTTAGAAAAAGAAGTTCTAGAATTGCAATCAAAACAAGAAGATTTACAGAAAGCAGCAGAGGAATCTAATCGTTTGAAAGATGAAGTTGATGCACTGAGGGAAACTGCAGATAAAGTAGATAAATACGAATTGACTATTGAATCGTATAAAAAGAAGATGGAAGATTTAAGTGATTTGAAAAGACAGGTGAAAATGCTAGAAGATAAAAATATGGAATACATGCAGTCCAACATGGAATACGAAGAAGAAGCAAAAAGGGCAACAGTCTTAAGAAATCATTTGGAACTCTGCAAAAAACAATTAACTGAGGTTCATCACAAGCTTGACGAGGAGATTAACAAGTCTGATAAACTTGAATTTGAAGCAAAGAAAATGGAAGCCAGACTTAATGCTGTGCAGCGAGAACGAGATCGCCTGGTCATAGAGAGGGATGCACTAAAAGAAACTAATGAAGAATTAAGGTGTACGCAACTTCAAGCTACTGAAAACAATGCTAAACCATCCACAATGAATAGCGTCGCAAGTACAGAAATGGCATTACCTGAAATGAAAGAGAAACTCTTGCGCTTGCAGCATGAAAATAAAATGCTAAAACTGAATCAAAAAGGAAATGAGGATAAGCTGCCATCGGTACAAGCATTACTGGAGGACTCTGAAGAGCGACTCAATACTTTAAGAGGTCAGAATCGCAAGGCCAATCAAAGGATAATAGAATTAGAAAACAAATTAGAAGAAGTTACAGAGAATCAATCAAGTGGAGACAGTAAAACCGATAGCACAGGTCTTCAGCAAAAAATTGCCCAACTGCAGGACGAAATACGAAAGTCTTTAGCGGAACGTGAACGTATAACTTTGTTGTTGGAGGAGAAAGACGTTGCATTACAAACTCAAAAACAAAAGGCATGTGCACTACAGGAATCTATTACGCGCAAGGAATATGAGAACACGGAATTGGAAGAGCGTTACAAGAAATACATAGAAAAAGCTAAGAATGTCATAAAGAGTCTGGACCCTAAACAAAATAGTTTGCCAGCATCCGAATTGCAACTACTGCGCAATCAGATAATGGAAAAGCGTAAGATCATCGAGGACATGAATCGTTCGTACAAAGAGAGTAAAGTTATCCGGGAGATGGAAGAAAAGCTTATGCTTACAGCATTTTATCGTTTGGGAGCAACTTGTCATCGGGAAGCTGTTGATCAACGTCTTGCTGCTATCAGTCCTGGACAAGGACAATCCTTCCTAGCTAGACAACGGCAACCTTCTGCTCGTCGATCGTTCCATCCACCTTATAACTCGAAATAATCTCGTATATACATTTTTGTACGAATTCTGTACAAAGAACTCAGTATTTTTTACAGCACAGACGAGTACATGAGTACTACAGTTCCTACTGATAGTACTTTTTATTCTGTAATGTGGTTATTTTTCATCATGGTGGATTTTAGTCATCATTGTTTTTGTAAATATGTAAGGGATAATTCTTTGAAAGGATCGATTTTATCATGGCAATTCATTTTTTGCTATTCTTTAAACGTTGGTAATGAACTTACACTTGAGAAATTTTTCAAATATTTTACGTATTTGCGTATTTATTACGAGTCGTAATTACGTCGTTGCGTTGCAAATTATATTATTATCGATATTTGTCACGACAAATATTTATTTATTGGAATGAACCCGCAGTCGTGTGATAAATATCAACCGCTGTAGGAATCATGATTACCATAACTATTCTTTAAAATATCGTTATCATTTTAATATTATACATTTTATTTTGTGATTTATTGCTAGTAACGAGTTATATGTTAAATTAGTACTGTAAACTAAAGAAAAATAAAAGATATATTTAGTTAATATATAAAAGAACATTTGTGACTTAGGAAAGAATGCCCATAGACAATATTAACATATGATTTAATTGTACTAGTATCAAAAATATAAAGGTTTAATAATAATCAGAGATTGAAATTTGTAAAAGTAATGAAATAAATTCCACACCAAGGATTAGAAGAATATTTTTATATTTTATTCAGTGATTTTATTTTTCATTAATTTGTTGTCGGATTTTTTATACAAATAAAAGACCTCATATATAAATATATTAATTGGCTTATTGCTTACGATTTCAAAAGAAATGTTTACAAGACTTATCAATGATCACTGTAAGTGTCAATCATTTATTTCCTGACGCATCATAAGGTTCGCTACTAGTACGATAATACGATTACAAATCGTTTTACACATTGCATACGATACATATAATTATATAACTAATATACAATATTACGAAGTGCATCGTTTGTATCATACAGTTATAGGATAACCCATTTATACCCATTTACTAATCTTTTGTTGCTCAGATATATAATATTTATACATTGATATAAAAATATGCCGCTTTAAATATTGAAATTATATCAATATTATTTCCGCTATGATTGTACCACTGCTAGAGATAGATTTTCCCTTTTCCGTTGCAATTTATTAATATACGTAGCTACTCTATTAGTATGTTTTACTACATTGTTACTCTGTTCTTGTTTTGTTGTCTCCAAATCAGAGGAAGACCTTTGATAGTAGAACACTGCAGCTAGCATATCCCACACACTAAACTCTGGCCAAAGTACATCAGCAAAATAAATGCAACTGCAAGTTGTCTGGAATCAATTTGATAAGTATAAGGATTGATTTTTGATAAATTGTAATAAATTTGATATAATAATTTTATAATTATTTGTTCAAGAAGGGAAGTTTTATTTGACATTTGATAAAAATATATCTGTACATCTATTTATATGAAATATATACATCTAAAAATAATTTGTATAACAAACGTTTTGGATATTTAAGAATAGGTTTGTTAATTTTGTTTTAATGCTTAGTAAATTCTTGAAAATACTAACAATATTTTAAGCATTGCAGATTGAATAACTATTAATTATAAACAACTTACTTGCCACAAGAGGAAGTCACTGAAACGGACCTCCCCAGAGGTGCGAATCAATAGATCAGGTTCAGGAGAACAGTTAGTATACAAACATTCTGACATTAACTTTTCACTAATATCTTCTGGAAGAATATCTCCAGCTTTAACACCTTCAACGACATCTTTAACTGCGTGTGTTATTTCATCTCTAGCTAAAAAAGATTAACTGTATATGGAATGTTTACTGTAATTTGAAGTCATTAGGAGATCAAGATTTTTACAGGTATAGGCAAAAGCCACATTGAGGTATGCTTTGTTATTATCCTTAGTAATGTACATGGCTTTGGTAATAGTTTGGATAAGATCTTCGGGCAACAGTGATAAATTTCCTATTACGCGAATACATACACCATGTTCCATCAGCATCTCCCTAAAATTGTATGAGACCTATGTGGAATTATATTTTCAAGATACTAATTATTAATAAATACAACAGGCAATATAGAGTTTGTAGTTCTTCATTAGATATATTATACAACTGATTATCAAAACTAGACTCGTAATATAAAATATACATACCGCTCATCTAAAACTCTTTGAAATTTTTGTCTGGCAAGTTCCATAAGACCATCTACTTCCTTTTTACTTCTCTTAAAATTTTCTATACTAAAGGCATACACTGTTACTTCAGGTATACCAAGATCTAAGCACCATTGTAGTGTTTCAGCAAGTTTATCAAATCTGAAGATTAAAAATGCATTTCTCAGTCATATTAATTCAATATAAACATTACGTATATAAATTCTATTACATATTTTTTTACAGTACTGACCCTTTAGTGTGTCCTTCCACCTTTTCAACACGTTTCTTATTTGCATAACGTCTATTACCATCCATAATAAATGCTACATGTTTTGGAACACCTCCACTTTTTATAATTTTAACAGCCAAAAACTGAATCCAATTCAAAGTATTTTCTCTTATCCAAGACATAATTTTATTTTACTTCACAATCAATAGGTTCTATTTAATCACGTAATTTCTACTGTCAGTGTTGATTTACAAAATGATAATTGAAAAATGTTCAAACATGTGATTCTTATGAAAAAAGTTTATTACATTTAATAATTCAAAATTGTACAACAATTATTATATTATTGGCTGTTAATACACTAGAAAATGGGTCTCAATTCATCTTTACGCGAAATCATTAGCAAACAGTTGCAAGTGACTGACGTGACACAACTAAACCCCACAGAGGACAAGGTACACGTCGAGAGTATCAAATCACCGACACGTATCTCATTTACTGTATGAACAAAATTCAGAAGGTTCTCATCGGTTCAGATGTAATTCTAAGCGGTAAGGAGCATCGAAATATTTTGAAGATTACATGAAAATTTCCATCACGTATCGCCCATTTTTAGGTTTACTGGAATATTTCCGGAAATATCGAAGATCTCAGAAATTTTCATATGCTACCTGCGCATGTACCTACAATTCTGTCCGATATTTTCTGGGTTACCATCTTGAAACGTATCTCTCCATGATTCCTTCTTTCCGGTACTTGTATTAATGCGCCTACGATTGCATCCAGTAACTTCCCGAAAAATAGTATTTTCTTTTAGCTGCAAGAAAATCGCTGTTTTGATAATGTTATTAATATTAAAAAATTTATTAGTAATAATATATTCCAGATATTATGAATTTTTTTCCCTCAGGGTCGACATTATTTTTGTCGGAAAGGGTGCTGCTATTTAGGGCACCACTGAAGGGGGGGGGGCTGATTATTCAAAATCATTTTTGATAATTTACGCAAATAGTTCTAAAAATTTAGTACACAGACTCTCAGTGCACACATACAATTACAGCGTAATAAGATGTATTATATATTTCTTTTAATAAACTCAAGTCCTCAAATATTCACATGTGACACTTTCTTAAAACTACATAATTGCTAAGAGCGAATTATATTCAAAATAATTTTTTAGACTGATCAGTAACGTAATTTATATAAATTAATTAATTTTCATCATTATTAAATGTACTTTTGATTAAGTATTGATGGCCGATACAACAAATTCCAATAGTATAGGTTAAGATTATATGAGTAGTAAGTAGTCTTTATTGTTTACAGTTTATATCCAACCAATGTTTTAAACTCGGTTTAATTATTGAATTCCCATATTTAGGAATAAGTATGGAATATATTAGTAAAAATTCACAAAGATTCTCATCGCCCTCTACTTTGATTCTCTCGACGATTTGAAAATACACTTGTAAAAACATTTATCTACCCGCTGCAATACTTCATATAATGTATAGTAAATATTTTAGAGGTATCGTCAGCATCGGCCCATGAGATCTCAAAAAAATATACATTCTTCAACTATTCACAACTCAGGTTGATTCCACAATAATTTAAGTGAATCATTTTTCGTAAAAAAGCTAGCTTATCAGACACAAATTATATTGAAGCAAACAAAAATTTTGATATGTATTTTTAGATATAAAATTAAAAAAAAGGTTAAAATATAGAAAAAAATTTTGAATTTAATGATCTTGTCAATAGACCCATGGTTCCCGAAAAAGTATCTACGTTCCTGGATAACGAAGAGAAGGGAGTGTGGCGCGTGGGTCGGAACTACTTTTCGCAGTGGAGGTGAGCGTGCGTGTTCGTGACGCGGTCGAGGGCTCGCAAGAGAGAAATGAAATCTGAAATGGTAATGCCGCGCTATGACCCGAAAAAATAAATGTTTCTCTTGGTCTGTGAGTGAATAATCGTCGATTCGCCGAGCGGAATGGAGGCCGGCGTGTCCAGGAACGAGGCCGCGATAGCACCAGGTAACAAATGAGGCCGATGAGGCACCCTGACCGTCCGCAACGGAGAGAGCGTGTACGCGATTTGTTCCTAACCAGCGTTCCTTTATTGCAGAGCTGTACTTCCTGATCGCGAAATTCCTGGCGGCCGGGCCCTGTCGAGAGATCGCAACTGTGAGTACCACTCGAATTAAAGCTCCACATAACTACCCCGATTGACACTCATGAAAAATTCACTTTTTTCAGACGCTCAAGCGCGAATTAGAGCGGGCTAAGGTAAGACGATTGGTTTGAGTTGACGTTTTGCCGGGGGTCACTGTACACAGCTAGTGGCTCCACATGGTTTGCACGTGGTTTCTGCTTGTCAAAACATTAGAATTGCAAGGTCGATGACCTCAATTTTCGACGTGCATCCGATGTTCGCGACCCCCGCGATTTTGACCCCATGAATCAGTTGTCATAACAAAGTATCTTATTTTTGTGCAGATTTTGCCCCAGAGGGTTGATTGGGAGGGAAATACCCATAATCAGACATTTGAAGAATTGGTAAGTAATGACTTTGCGTTCTTTGTGCTTTGTGTCAATTGCGCATTGATGACTCTAGTAATTAGGTCATTATGCACCTTTTCCTCGGCGTTGAGTTATTGAAAAATGGATAGGACGCATCTCTAAATAGTTCATTCTTTGAAACTGTCCTTCCACGGGCAAATAACGTACCCCTATCGGGATACTACCCCGTTCCTATCCCTTCTGTAAATTTCTCCCTCCTAAACTTAGCATCGCTATTGCACAAGAGATCCCCCACCACTTAAGAAATCCACCAATGATCTCTTCTCTTCGGCCATCTTGTGCGAACTGATCAATGAATATATATGTTCACGGCTTATTTATAGAAACAGGTCTCATGCATGATGTTAGCGCCATCTGGTGTGCTTATGCTTTGCAGGATTCTCTGTGATTGGTTAAGAGAGGGAACTACTTTAATCAGGATTTAAAATCATGCCGGGGAACAAATATTCTGACCTTAACGTTTCTCTCTTCAATTATACAATAATAATGCTAAAGAAAGATATTATTGGAATGTGTCAACATTTTTTGGATAAATGATATGTAATTTTATAATCAAAAGCTTATATTAGATTATAAGTTGTATGGCTTTTATTTGTACAAATAATACACTAAAACTATAATTACTGTGAAAGAGGATATAAATTAATAAGTCCTTTTTCTATATGTATATGCCTGCTGTTCTTGTTTTATCGATTTGATATATTCTTGAATAATTTTTGCATGTAAGATTCTTGCTAATTAAAGTTCTGTACGTTATGATGGTTTTTAATAGGAAAGAAAGTATCCTCACCTGGGAGAAAATCATTTATTGCAAATATGTGCACGTATTGGACCTGTATTAGAAAAAGAAGTACCACCATGTGTACCTGGGGCTATTTCCTTACTTGGGGCAGGCAGGCAGTCCTTACTGCGTACACACGCAGGTAGTACCATTATTAAAATATCGCAGACATATGGCAGCTCCTTTTTATATTATGGTAATTTATATATTACGTTATATTAACTGTAGATTTATTACATCAAATACGTGGAGTCATGGCATACTCTGGAAGGCTGGGAGGAAAGCCTTTCCTCCATCTTCCATCCAGTACGTTAACTCACAATATTGGTAAGTTGTTACATATGTTATATTGTATTGAAGTGTACAATGATGATCATGATATTAAATGTCATTTGAATGCTGGTGTTCTATTCCACAGTCCGTGTACTCCAGGGAAGAGAGAATTCAGGTCCCCTCAGTCGACACGAGGCAATTCAAACAAAGTTTTACAGCAAAATGCAATTATATCGACATACGCTGGGTCATTTGTCTGCAGTATATTGTGTTTTATACGATCGAACTGGCAAATACGTCATAACCGGTGCTGACGATCTACTGGTTAAAGTATGGAGTACCATAGATGGACGTTTGTTAGCTACATTCAGGGGTGCATCTGCTGAGATCATGGATATTGCAGTGAATTTCGATAACACTCTCTTAGCTGCAGGAAGTTTAGATCGAATATTGAGAGTCTGGTGTTTTCAAACAATGTCTCCTGTGAGTTTAGCAATTTATTTTGTACTTTGCAAAGAAATTGTTTGATTATATAAATTTCGTTTTTAAGGTGGCTGTTCTCTCTGGACATTCCGGTATGATCACTTCCGTAAACTTTTGTCCTATTTCTTGTAATGGCGTGAATTATCTGGTATCCACAAGTACTGATGGTTCAGTAGCATTTTGGCCTCATACTAAGAAACCTAATGAGAGGGCTGTTTTTCAGTAAGTATATCGTACCATTATTTTCATTTGATTTATTGTTTCATGGAAAGAAGAGTGTATAAAAGCATAATTTTATTTATTTTCAGGACAAAACCCATTCAGTATCATGAAAAAATGAGGCCTGGTCAGGCGCAAATGATCTGTGCATCGTTTAGTCCTGGTGGTGCTTTCATGGCTGCTGGATCTGCAGATCATCACGTGCGAGTTTACGCAATGTTGGGTGATGAAGGTCCGCGTCGGGTTTTAGAAGTCGAATCACATTCCGATACTGTTGATAGCATTCAGTGGGCACATAGCGGTCTTAAGTTTATATCAGGTTCTAAGGATGGTACTGCAAATGTCTGGCATTTTGAACAACAGCAATGGATGCATAAGCGTCTCTTAATGACTACAAAACTACCTGGGTATGTGTGCTAGGCTTAAATGATTAACATTGATCATATTATTAAATTGCATTAATTTAATACTTCACGTTATATTTATACTTTGTGGATACTATTGATTCTCTGAGTGTACTGAGAATAATTATTAAGCAAGTATTTCTACTGTAACATACATACTTGTTTTTCAACAGTGAGCCAGAAGGTGACGATGATTCAAATAAAAAAGCAAAGGTTACAATGGTTAGTTGGGATGTCAGTGATGAGTGGGTTATCACAGCAGTGAATGACAGCTCACTGAAAGTGTGGAATGCTAAAACTGGAGAACTGGTTAAAGTTTTACGAGGCCATAAGGATGAAGTGTTTGTCCTGGAATCTCATCCGATGGATCCTCGAGTCATATTGAGTGCTGGGCACGATGGACAGCTTATTATTTGGGATGTGTTGAACACAGAGCCTATAGCTTGTTTCCAGAATTTTATCGAGGGTCAAGGCAATGGTGCTGTATTCGATGCTAAATGGTCACCAGACGGTACGATGTTAGCGGCAACTGATTCTCATGGCCACTTACTGATGTATGGATTTGGATCTGGCATTGAAAGACTGAAAATTGTAAGTTATATTATTTTATCGTTGCTATTATTAAATTAGCCTTTCATGGATACAAAGTAACATTATATTTAAATGTAAAACGAAGATATTGAGAATCTTGTGGATTTTTTTATTATAGGTTCCAAAGGAGTTGTTCTTCCATACAGATTATAGACCGTTAATCAGGGACAGCAATCATTACGTTCTGGATGAACAGACGCAAACAGCTCCACATTTAATGCCACCGCCGTTCCTCGTTGACGTAGACGGCAATCCTTATCCTCCAGCATTACAGCGTTTAGTTCCGGGTAGAGAGAACTGTAGAGGAGAACAGTTAGTTCCAAATATTGCTGTTGGTGCCGGAGGTAAATGCTAAATCATTATAATACACTTTTAGAAAAACAGTTATACTTTTTGCAAATTTTACTGTCCGTCTGCAAATTGGTTCTCAGAATATGTAATCTGTCACATAGGAATGCAAGAAGTAATAGAGGGCCTGCCAGTACCGGAGCCACGATCAAACATAGACAGATTGATCGAGGCTTTAGCACAGAGACAGAATATTAATGCTGAGGGTGAAGTTGCTGGAGATGAACGCGAAGATAATCAGGGAGATCTACCTGTTCGTCAAATAGCTAGTCCTCGTGGCAGTAGACCAGGTTTACGAAGAGCTGGCGATGTTGAAGGTGTTAGACAGAGCAGTGGCAACTGGCAAAGAGATAATACAACACCTTGGAATAAACCTATACTAGCGAAACCTGTAAATCCTGCAATACGCGAGACTCACTTCAGACAACTGTGCGTTCACTTTCAGTATTGTTGTATAGGCCATGAAGTTGCTGTAATAATTTTATCGCGAGAAGTAATCTTTCAAAGTTTTTTTCAAAAGTGTTCAATTTTTCAGCAACGCAATGGCAGAGATGGAGTTAGAGAATTGGAGACGTGAAATGCGACGAAGACCACAGCCTATCTCAAATGCTATAGCTGCTCCAGGAGGAATTGGAGGACGTCTTGCTAATCGTAAACGAAACAGAGGTACTCGCCATGGTTATAGAACTAGGGCTACCAGAGGCGAAGAACAAGAAGACGACGAATACGACGTACGTTACTTGGCGAATTATTATTATAGTTATTACAATATTAGCTTGATTAAAATGAACATAAGTCATACTATGCCCGTATAGAATGTGGATAATGTGGGAACAAGTGCAAGCTCAGCAAGCAGTAATAGCAATGACTCCACTGCCCATGAGGAAGATCTGTGTTCGGACAGTTCAACCTCTGACTCTAGTAGCGAATATTCTGATTGGATTGCGGATCATGGATTAAATTTGGAACCGCCTAAGAGAAGTAAACGGAAACCTGTTAAAAAAAGATCGGTGACACCACCTAGCGATACCGATCGTAGGCGAAGTCAACGACCTAGAAAAAAGGTAAAATTGTAGTTTTTGAGAAAACAGCATGTTCCATATTGATTCACAAAATTATCTACATTCTTCGCGATCGTTTAAATAGATATTGACAGTTCCAAATGGCGTGCACGAAGTTCCTGAAGCGTTTCGGCCATCAGAATGGCTTACAGAAGTTATACCTCGTAAAGCGCCATACTATCCGCAAATGGGGGACGAGATAGTGTACTTTCGACAGGGTCATCAATTTTATTTAGACGCAGTTAGAAATAAACAAGTCTATGAACTTGGTCCTCGATGCGAGCCATGGTCCAAAGTGAATATAGGAGTAAGTACTGTGAAATGTAGTAAGGTTTATTGCAACTTAAAGTTAAGTAGTAAAACAATAATGAAAATTAATATTCTGCAGCCACAGGAATTCGTGAAAGTCGTAGGTATTAAGTATGAAATACGTCCTCCGCGACTCTGTTGCCTTAAATTAGCTGTGATGGATGAAGACGGTCGTTTAACTGGAGATAATTTTACAATAAAATATCACGACATGGCAGACGTACTGGATTTTCTCGTTTTACGACAAACATTCGAAACGGCATTGGCACGCAGTTGGTCGGAGGGCGATAGATTTCGATGTATGATAGATGACGGCTGGTGGATGGGACAGATTCAGTCGATGGAACCCCTGGACGAGAATTTTCCTGAGTCCTTCTTTATGTGCTTTCGCGTAAGATGGGATAACGGTGAATTTGAAAGAATGAGTCCTTGGGATCTCGAGCCTATTGACGAAGACAGTAAGTATTATAAAACCGTTCAATTATGCTGATCAAGAACAAAATGGAACCAAGATAACATGAGGCATTTCCCGTGCGTGTCAATCATTTTATCAAATGAGTGTGTACATTGTTGGATCTGGTACAGGACTACCGGCAGAAGTTGGCGGAGCAGTTCCTGTACTGCCCGAAGAGATACAGGCGACGTTATATCAACCGCAGACAGAGGAATGGCCGATGGGTGACAGGGAAGCAACATGTCGTAGGATTATTCGCGGTTTGGATCAAGTTATGAGTCTGGCTATAGCAGAGCCATTCGTGGCTCCTGTTGATCTCAATATCTATCCCACTTATGCGTTTGTTGTGGAATATCCTATTGACTTGTCGACCATCAAAGCTCGGTTTGAGAACCATTTTTATCGAAGGATTACATCAGCTCAATTTGATGTCAGATACTTGGCGACTAATGCTGAACAGTTTAATGAGCCGCATAGTCAAATCGTTAAACAAGCCAGGATAGTTACGGACTTATGCCTACGTATTATTAAGTAAGTGATATTCATTGCTCACTTAAGTTTTGGGTACATATATTTTTTTAATAAATGTAATATTTAACGAATTACAGAGAAACTATAGAGATTGACGTTCCGGCCGTTTATCACCAGCTGGTAGATACGTATCATTCTTCTGATACGGATGGAGATGCTGAAGATGACAAAGACAGACCGTCCACGAGTACGCAAAAACCGACATCAAGTAGAAACTTACGTTCACAGGAAATTTCGCAGGATTGGAAACTAGCCTGCCGGCAATTATTAGAGAGTCTATGGCAGTGTGAAGATTCTATACCTTTCAGGTAAATTATATGATATTAATTATTCTTGCATGTGGGTTTATAACGAAGAACAATACATCTTATGGGACATATTTGTTTGATATAGAGAGCCTGTGGATAGATTAGAGCATCCAGATTATTATCAAATAATTGATACACCGATGGATATGCGCACCGTCAAGGAAGATCTTTTGGGAGGAAATTATGAAACTCCATTAGAATTTGCCAAAGACATGAAGTTGATATTTACCAATAGCAAAAATTACAATACCAATAAGCGTTCGAGGGTGAGTCTTGATTCAAAGTTTAATTCGACGCTAGATATTACCTTTTAATTAGGAATTCTACAGGTACAACAATTATTTTTACTGTAGTATTTTTTTTGTTCACATATCATCAAACATTTTATTTGTCGTTCTCACATTGTGGTAATTGGCCACTTACCAGAATGTAGATACGAATGCATGTTCCTGACAATATCATTCTATTTGTGGAAAAATGATTTATTTCTCCGCTTCAATTTTGCTACAGATACATGCGGTTTTCTCTTAATTTTTAATTATAAAATCATTGATACTAGTGACGATAAAAATGTGTACTTACATTGCTGCTTGATGTAGACACAAATTCTGGTAAGTCGCATTCACCTACCGTCTCGTTGTTTAAGGTCACATCTTGAAATTCGAAATAGCGATAGGAATTTGTATATTCCAAAATGTCAGTCATGCTATGAAATTTTTTGTCTATTATATTTTTTTTTAACACTGTAGATATACTCCATGACAATAAGGTTGTCAGCTATGTTCGAGGAACATATACGAAGGATAATTAGCAATTGGAAATCTGCGAGACGGCGTATCGAGAATGCTAGTAGAAACAAAGGAAGAGCAAAGGGTAAAGCACAGAAAGGCAAAGTCCGCTTGACAAACGGAGCTGGTGAATATTCATTATTTATATATATCTTCATTGATAATTCGTAAATTACTTTTATATTTGTAATTCTAGGCCCTTCGAAAGCAAAATTAGTTAGTAGCGACGAAGATGAGGATGTAAATATTGAGAATGACGAGGAGGAGGAGGAGGAAGAAGAAGAGGAAAAGAATAAGACACCTGTAAAGCAAAAGAGGACAGTTCCTCAAAACTCTGATGGTCCAGGTGCATATCATCCTCATTTTAAAGAAACTTAAATTTTTTGCATGTCCTTTTTGAGCCAAGATCATAATTGTTTCTTGATGATTACTTTAGGTCCATCAAGAATGACAAATGGCCACAGCAAACGAAATGGCAGCGCATCACGTCCCACGATAAGACTTCGCATTTCTCGAAATGCAGCAGCGAAAAAGACGAAGAAAAGCGACAGTGACGGAAGTGAATCCGAGGCATCAATGGAGAGTGAAAGTAGCGACAGCGCGCCTATGCGAAGAACTAGAAGACGTAATAAAACAATGAGTAGTGGAGGTGGTGATAGTGATTCGGGAGACAGTTATAAACCCGGAGGTCGTGGCAAACAAACCCGTAAGAATCGGGCAAAAAATAGTAAAGTTTCGAAACAGAACAAGTTAAAAGCAAAATCCTTTGTAGTAGCAGACGACGAGGAAGACGAAGATGAGGAAGATCAATTCCTGGAGCCTGAAACGACAGACGAGAGCGAAGAAGAGGTCGTGCAGAGGAATTCAACCAGGTCTCGGAAGTTGGCACCGGTACAAGAATCCGTACCGGAAACAAAGGACGAATCGGAGGAAGAAAGAAGCAACAATGCACAAAGTGACAGCGACGAAGAAGACGAAGCACCGCAGCAACCTTCCAACGCTTCGGATTCGGACTCTGATGAGGATTCTGATAAAGGATTCGAGAGGACCAGGTCCCAGAGGAAGGCACGGATGTCTAGGGACTCCAATAGCCCAGAAGCCACGCAGCACTCCCGACGTACTGGGAAACGACCACGTTACAACGAAGAGAGTGACGAGAGTGGAACGATGCCAGTTAGAAATCGTCGTAGAGTTAAACGGCGCTACTATGCTGAGGAAAGTGATGAGAGCTTACACGAACCCGGCATTAGTATAAGCAGTAGAGGGCGGGTGCGCAAGATGACAGCACGCGCACGTGCCTTTCTCCTGGAATCACCCTAGCGGCCTTTTTCATGCTAGTGCAGGTAAATGTATACTTGAGACTTCTTAATAAGATTTTCTAGGAATGTCTGAAGGGAGTCGCAGAGAAGACGGTGACGGTGAAATTTAATTTCTTTAAACAATTAATTGCGAACGTTATGCGTCGTAGGATACGCGATGTTTATTCTATGGTGTGATTGTGTCTTTGATTGGATCTTTCAAGAAATTATTAAACACTAATGGTCCGTTAAGTGAAGTGTCGCGTGAGTAATTACAGATTACAAATTTATGAGTATCGTCCATTAAGTTAATACACATTTATTAATTAACGTACTATTTAGGAATGTGTGATGAATAATGTCAGAAGAGGAAATGAATCTTTTTATCCTTGCAACTTTAACATGTTCGTTGAATGCTCCTGACGTTGAAAATTCAAAGAGATCTAATATCTTCTTAATATTATCTTAGAAATACTTTTAGCGCACTTTGGCGTAAATCGCATAACTTTTACAAGTCTTTCTATTCGTTGTCACGCATAGAGACACATGATCGCATGGAATAATGGAGATCATCGATATTGCCTAAGGTAACCCGAATGAGGGGTTTGAGGCGTGAAAAATCCAAGCATCGCGCAGAGTAAACAATTCTGGAAAAACATTGCCATTGAGACCTCCGTCGCTTTGCTTAACTCTGCCAAAACGCAAGTGGAATAAATAACCATTGTCTTTTTAAGCAGCTACATACGGTAGTCATTTAATATTGTAAATACGATTATAATTCATATTGACGTAATCGCGACACTCGCGAAAATCAACTTCAACGAAATAATTACTGTAAATGGAATCAGCAGAATGATAACGTTGCAATTTTTTAACGGAGTTACTACTGAAAATAATTCGTACACCGTTTCTCGTCATATGGACATTGCAGATGAAATTGCTATATGAACTTTAATGCAACGATGCTTACATGAATTCGTGAAGAACTTTAGCAAAAAAAAGTGATATCTCATCAACCACTGCGTAACGACGACCTCTGTGTCTGTAATGACACCACTTGAAATATTGAGCATTAATGTAAATTATACATTTCGTACCAGGTACTTATCTGTAAAATAGAATTAATTTCCTTTTGTAATACAAGATAGATGATAGTAAAGTTAGGTGTGCGGCTGGCAAGGCGAAAACAGACGAGGGGCAGTGTCTTTACGCATTGTAATTATTGATTTAAAAGAACACTGCCACGAGCGTATAGTAGGAGACAAAAAGTGACGAGTAAAAAAAAGTTCTGATGAAACAATTTGAATAAATAGAAAATGTGTTGCTAATAATTAGTTTATTGTAACTGTTAAGTCATTTGATACGTCTACGTTAGGCGGGAAATGTTTCAATAAGTTAGGAGATAAACAGCATAACATGTAAATGCTGCAATGTAAATTTTACGGAGAATCTGATAACATTTATGTTTAAGACCAATGGCGGGCAGGACTGTTCGCCTTCTGGAATCCATACTTGTTCTCATGGACACGATATAACTGCTGACGAATTGTTATTTTCTTCAATTTCCTTCAATCTTTTTAGCAAATTCAAAGTACCTCTACAATCCAAAATGCGTGAATAAAAGGAAATATATAATAATGCAAGCATACAGAATAGTATCAATTATGATGAATGGGCGAATTGTTTGATCTTATTTTGCTATTTCTTATGTGTATAGGACAAGCGTATGTAACATAGATCTACTTGCATTATATATTTAATGTATAAAATTTATGGATTGAAGTTTAAATCAAGAAGAAAAAAAAAATATGGATTACGAAAATAATGTTTGTGCACAACTATTGGAAGTCTTGACTGTCTCAAGCCATTGTGATATTAGCTTAAGAATATCGGATATATGATAATGATAATATAAATATTGATAACTAGGGCTACGATGGTTATTTTTTTAACAAGGCATTAACTGAAAGGGGCAGCATATCACGTAGACTCCGGTAGCTCAGACGTCGTTCAACTGAGACTGTTATCATTTTATAATACCGCTACCTTTGTCTATTATGATTGTGTTTAAGCGACAATTAACGTAGGGTCTAATATGGTGAACTACTTATTTCTTGATTTAATGTAATTTTCCGTATATAAGTCTCTTCAATGATTTAATTAGACGAGTTAGTGACATTCATTAATAATAATAATTATTATTATAATTTGGACTAGCGCACGTTTCCACGGTGGTTCTAACGTTGACAACACAACCAGCGTGTTTTGTTTATGTACAGTATAGTTTTGCGTCCCACCGCTACTAATAAAAACTTACGATACCGTTTGATAACGATAACCTGTATCAGTTATCTCACCACTAAATTCTCATTCGTTTTGCAAACAATCCAAGGAAATCGAGCGATTTCATTATTCAAATTGTTGAAAAATTGTTGCACCGCCCATTCTTCACCCCCTATTCTCTTTTATGATAATTTAATACTGACGCAGTATAATTTATTTTTTATTATTATATCATCACTTCCGCCATTAGGTCCAATTATGGCGAAATCTGGATAACACATAAAAACAACCTACCTCTTCTAATGTTAGACAAACTAGTTGCTGCTGTAATAAAATATTTGATGATTACCCAAATAGAATAACAAATGGATGTCACATCTTTTTCTCAACACTTGGTTCCGTTTAGAGTACGAGTTTTTATTGGGGAGCTTGAGAGTAAAAAGAGGCCGCCTCAAGCGTAAGAGCCTCTTAATCATTTTAGTGGTGTATTCATTACTTTTTTTTTCAATGATATGAACTTCAGTCAAATTCCAAGCGAATGTCAAGTATAATAAACTCTAGTTAAAATTAAAGAAGAAGGCATCGTCCACTATATGTTTTATGTAATAGTCCTCTCATCGTACCGATTACATGTTTTACATGAGTTTCTGCATAATACATCCACTTAAAAACATACTTAAAGTAACTTCTCTTTTGGTATCTCTTTCATTGTACTCTTCTTCTGTTTATAAATGATTAATCATTGATCATCGCAATAACGCAAGTTTGCGACTTTATTTCCCAGTAAATAAGCAACTTAAATTAGATTAGGTCTTTCATTATTCATTCATACAAATGATTCTCTTGCTCTTTCTCATAAAATAATTTGAATCGAATAATCATGATTTGCAAATCGCTCGTATTACCTGATAACAGATGAAGTGAACTATTATTGCAGGGCGTTTGATATAACATATCAACATCCACTATTCATCGTTTCAGTCTGTCAGTTCGGTACCACGTTGGTATCCTTAGTTATTCTTATTGATTAATATTATTATTATATTCCGGATAAAGGTACGATTGCGTATAATAGCGTGTACGTGTGTCTTCTTTATTAGTCAACTTAACAATTTGTACAAGGGTGGACCACGCGCATTTTTATCATCGTCAGGAATAACGTAACAGGAATGTTGGTCCTTACGAGATACAAGTTTAATGTATTTTCATAATTTCCTTCTTCTTTTTCCTCACTATTTATATTATACGATATTATCATGACGATATGTCACGTGTACAATAAATCTTACTATATATACTACGGATGACTCTATTCTCGCGTTTTCAATAATTTATTTAAATACACAAGCGAGCCAAGTAGATATACAAATTTTTGCGCGATATAATCTTGCAACCAACACCGTACAGCGGTTTTCCTATTACGATGAGCATAAATGTTTGTGTTTCATTTTGCGAACTCGACTACTACGTCATAATTATGCGATGGCATTGTCGCTCGGTTGTTTTTTTTGGTCTCCTTGTATATTTACATACAAGGAGCGAAAAAGTGACGTGTTCAGCGAAATAGAAAGAAATGTAACATTCATCCTCCTATGTAACTCTTCGTACCTTATTCTTTCTTTTTGGTAATTACAGACAATGATTTGCAAAACGTCGAGCTCTCAGGTATCAGTGTCGTTGGCCAGTACTCGACAGAGATGTTCGTAAACAATAGTTTAATAGCCCACAATTGATGATCGTGATTGCGACATACTTTTCTATATAATTTTATTACATGTTATCAGAGTACAACCTACAGCAGGATTGGTATCGATAATTATTATGCTTTCAATGTACGTGACATTTGGCTGGCACAAATGAGGAAACGTTAGTCACCTAAGTTTGTAAAAAAATATGAAAAGTGGTAATCGGCTCAAAAATGAACGTGAGAAAGGTATGTACGTTGCTCTGCCTTTATTATTGAATACAAAAGATTTATGTTCTTGTTCCTCGATTTGGGTTTTGACGAACCCACGTAATACAGAAGGTTTCGTTGGATATGGAGTCTGTTTTATTTTTGCAATTACGTTATATCGTCTAAAATCTCAATAATATGGACATTTGCGTGTCGGTAGTCTCGAGGAAGAGCCAGTGGCAGTGAACAGAATGTGTATTGTAAATACGTTCTACGTTTTTATAGAGTATGCGATTTGATACATTGCTTTGCATGCATTGTTAATATTATTTCTTTTACATATATTTATAGTCGTTATATTTTCTTTATAGTTTAGCTAGCAAGCATAACAATTGTTTCCTTTTTCTTTCATTCTTTTACATACGATAAATCCATGATATGACGAGTCAAATATGTAATAAAGTTACTCTCAGGGAAGCGCTACCAAAGCCAAGCCGTACGTGCCTTATTAATGTAATTCGGCTATACAAACGGCGTATATCAAAACTTATAAAATACCCAAAGCCACCATGGTAGCTCCCCTGACCCTGCATTCGCATGGCTCGCGTGCCATGTTTCTGTCTCTGATATGCGTTAGTGCCAGACTTGTTCTTGGTCTTGGATTACGATTAAGTTTATATTCGTATTAATTAAGTATATGATTCCAATCGTAAAGCATGATAATCCGCGGCCACGACGCGGGCGCACAAAGATATTATGTTTCTTTCTTTTTGTATTCTGTTACTTAAAAGCTGGCGGAGGTGCTCTTTGTCCATTTGTTTTCGATGCATCTTCAGTCATAACCGTCACTAGTTCACCGACGGCTTTACCCAAGTCTCCTGCGCAGACAAAACAACCAGTTGAAATTATTGCTTCGACATTAATTACTTTCTAAAGTACTAACGAGAAAGTTCACAAGACATTAGCCCATAAGATTTTGAAGTCTCGTACAAGTAGAACCCAGGAGGAAACTCGTGAAGCGAATGTAATTATAATCATGCAATAAATTCTCAAATGACGATATATGCATGAAGCACAGGTGACAACCCATTGGCAGCAGTGTTATCAGTTTTAACAGAAAGGGCTTATAGAGTATTAAGCATTTGCTTCGAGTTTGGGTACTCAACTAGGAACTTACCTCTTACATCCATCCTGCACGCATGAAAAAGCAGGAAATCTTTGTTAGCTTACAAGGAAGATTATTCCCCAATGAACTTAACAGAGGACAGGAAAGGAAGTAATAGTCATGCATGCAATTAGTGATGTGTAGTATGAGAATGATTTAGACAAACCTGCCATATGCAAGAGGTTGCCCACATTGTGAGCTACACTGTGTGAATGAGGCGGAGGAGGAGGCCTCTCCAAGCTGCTTACTCTGCCATCACCCGAGCCACCGCCACCACCTACGCCCATATATGCCCAATACCATGTATAAATGCCATGACATAGACCATCATAGTCTAGTTAGCCAGTAAGTCACGTGGGACTTGCATTACTTTCGTTTTAATGTATCGTATAATGCACTTGCATCGTAGCGCTTAATCGAATTCCCGTACACACACGAGTGTGAGGCAAACTCGTACGGGAAATACGTTCGATCGTGAATTGATATTCCTATACGTCAACAAAGCCACTATACAACGATGTATCTCACCCATGTGACAAAGCCAAAGCCACCGAGTAGTTCAGACTAGCTTATAATGATAGAAGCCAGCGATATTATATACTATGCTTTCACGTACCCAAAAGCGTTTAATTAATAACCCTTTCATTACTTTATTTGTACGCACCTGGCGAATCGTGATAATGGCCATTCATTTTAGCTGGTGAATCCGTCGCCAACTGAGACGCTGTGACACTTCGTGTCTGAAGCGTTCCCGTCTTCGATGGAGAGCACGCATTCGGCTGTAATGAGATACAATTTTTGATGAGACGATAAAAGGAATTGTTTATTATTAAATTTTGGTGGTATATAATTTATTTGTAGGTTTTGTAGGTTTACCTCATCCAACAGTTGTCGAAGCCTTTGCAGTTGCGCTTCCAACTGACGGTTGTGATCCTCTAGTATTTGCATACGTGCTTCCAGTCTGCCTTTATGCTGTCTGAGAAGTTTGGCTTCAGCTATCATATCGCAATCAGGTTGCCTTGTACCATGACCATCCTCTGGTGTAGATCCTGGCGTCTGTTTTGATCGCAATCTCTCGTACTCGGCCTGGAGCGTCGCATTCTCTTCCTCGAGTTCACGGATCATCGCCTCGAGCTCTTCTCTCTGCTCTGCGTCTATCGCAGCCATCACTTGTACCGGACTTCTCGGTACATTGACGTTATCGCCGCCGTTCAGGCTCTGACAGTAGTGCGCTATTAACTGGTGCTCGTCATCGCTGTCCGGCGTCGAATTACTTCTTGTACGTGATAATTCGACTTCTGCTAATCGCGATGCGTACATCTCTAAGCGAGAATGCATATCCTGACTGAGTGAGCTGTGCTGTGGAGATGGTGCTGGACTCTCAAGAGCATCACCCTCCAAAACGGTTTGCACTGGTAGATAGCCGACCCTTGGATGCTTCTTGAAGTATCGTTTAGACTTGAATTTATTACGTAATGCTCTGGTGAAGTCTCGGACATCCTCGCCTGACGTGGTCTGCAAGAAAAATTATGTAATTAAGGGTATTTATATTTATTTTTAAAATACGACAAACCATTATTGTATTTTTTTGTAGTAAGGATACGTACCGCTGTGCAGTATTCTTGCATAGGGTGCGTTAACTTATGATTCTTTGCTTTACGTCCAGAGAAGAAACAATTTTGACACATGTCAAAGTTGAAGCATTTAAGACAGCGATATCTAAAACATTTAATATGGAATTTTAAAGCGTGTTCGACGAAACGCAGGCATAGACGAAGCATCTTTTAGATTGCTACCTGAAGCCAATGATGGGATATTCTTTACAGATGTTACATTTGGCCTGGTGTTTGGCACTTTCAGCTGCAGACAATCTATGAAGCACAGGCAGCCACACCATACTCTGTGGCTCTTGTTGCAACCAACTTAAAAAGTGTACAGCTTCGATTTCATTCTTATCCTTTCCTGCTTTCTCAAAACAGCTTCTGACACTTGGTTCAATATTAGAACCACCGAATGCTGCGACTTCACCCAATTGTCTTGGTACCTGAATACAATCATGCAACAAGAGACCCAACTTACGTTGATCCACCATTCTGTTAGGATCCGCAATCAATCTGAACAAATCTGCAAGAAATAGTGATCGTTAACATCATTCATCCAGTACGTCGTGTGTCCACTAGAGAAAATAAAGTAGATATCTACATCGGTACTTCTCCTCCAGATGACCCTTGCATAGAAGAACAAGACCAACTTTGAATGACAGCACCCTGATCTGGCCGGTTCGTTGACTGAAAAGATTATTTTATCTTTAAATATAATTGGGATCAATTAAAATTTGGGTATATGGTGCTGGTAATATTCGGGATGGTAGAAATAGTGGTTCTAGTGAGTATGAGAAAAGAGAACTGGAATATAGTGCTAATTGAATCAGCTCGACCAAGAGCGGCGTACAGTATGCAACAAGTGAAATAAGTACTTTTCAACAAACCGAATACACCGCTAGAGGTAAGTCAAAAGTATATTCACCTAGCGTACCTATCATATACATTGAGGAGCCAATTAATGGCTAAATCTATGCAGAGCGGTACGGACACTTGTGTTGGATTATCCGCAGCGATAACTTCGTACAAAGACGTGAGTACCGTTATCATATCCGGTATGTCGATGAGTTTGTCATTCTGGGCTCTTAAGCCATGCGAGTCGAACTGCTCCAGCGCAGAAGAGAGGCTTAACAGATCCACTGGTAGGAGAAAGAAAGAAAGAATTAACTGAATGGTTTCAAGATGAGGATCATTCTAAATAAATAAAAATGGCTCATTAATGGATAACCATATAACATATCATTATACTTACAGCATAATCTCTTCTGCACAGTACGCAGCTTCATAGCAGTTCTGTACGCAGAGAAACGTACTTCGTTGAGATCGGCCAGCGAGGACATCAATTCAATCATCTTTGGATGATCCCAATGCGTTGTTTCCAACTGATGGCTAAAAGTAATGAGCCAGGCAAGGTGAGTATTATTATAGCTGCTAGGTAATGGTGAAGTGGTAAAGTATAAAATGGCGAATTACTTGATGTAGTAAGGCACTTTGGCGGGTGTGAGTGCTCTCTCCCATGGCGGTTCTACGCTGCCTGCGAGGAAAGCCTGACTACCCGGAGTGCTGCCATCTTTTCCGAATCCGCTCAACAACTTGTAACGTTCGTCGACTGCTACTTGGAGCACCTTCCACCTAGAGAGAGTGTGGATAATTAAATCTTGATGTAAAATCTCAATGGAGATAAATCTGCAGTAAGATCTCTTTAACGAGAATCCCTTGACAGGTCATTGAGGAAAATGGCGCTCACCTGGTGTTGAGATCTTCAAGTTTGGCGAGTAGAGCATGCGAGACGATGACGTTGCTGGAGGCAAAGACGCTCGCTTGATCATTAGCGTCCTCGATGTTCCTCTGAATGGGTCCAAGTCGTTCACCAAATTTCTGCAGCTGCTCCAGCATTTCCGTGGCTTCGGAAGTGTCGCCAGGATTCTGCCAGCCACTTTGAAAAGACTCAGCTGCTGCCATTCGGGACGATAAGTCCTCTAGGGACTTTTGGAAGACACACATTTTCTGCAAAAAAAGTGTCAGGTTTGATTAGTCTTTCAATTTTTATAAATTGGAATCGCGTATTTAGCTATGTTTGTGCGCATGCGCGTACTGTCTTCACGACATGGTAAAGAATATCCGGCAAATTCGTTTCATCTTTTCATCAAAGTTCCGCGGGATTCTTCAGCGCGTCTCTATTCAGGAAATTGCCATGTTTCAAGTCGTAAACAAGTAGCAAAAAGTCCTAGAAATTACGTAGCTCGTTGTTTAGTCTGGACTGCGTCAAAAAAGCATACCACTGCATACGTCATTCCAACTATTACTTTACTTTATCTAATAGAGATATACGTTCATTGAAGTCTCATAGAATTCTAATGCCAAAAGTGCAATTGCATTGATGCATTCATGAAAATACATTCGGAGCATACGAAATCGCATTAATAAAATGGAAAATTAATCTTACGTCAATGCGACCTTTTTACGAATGAATGAGCTTCAATGTACAATACGTGGTTCTAGACAAAATTGCTCTGCGTCTATATACAAAAATTGGCACATTTCTCAACAGCTCAAATACTAATCTGATGGATAATAAAACCTGGCAAGAATCAAGTACCCTGAAGGTAACAGAGTGGCATTACTGTGAATGGGTATTAATGCGCATTCAATATTCACATGCGCGCTTATTACCCCACGGATCTATTTTCCGCAATTCCGCCTGCGTGCATCGCGATAATCTTAACTGTCACGTTAAATAGTCCTGCAAGATTGCACGTGAGCTAGGTACTTGGCTTTTGATTAGATGGTGAAGAATGCGGAACATTTAGCTATAAAGTCACTGGAAAAGATTTGCCAAACCGCAGATGCAATAATACTTGGCATTTGTATTTGAAACAAATGGCCATGTCGAGCTTAAATCTTTTTAATTGGACCATATATACTGCAAGTGCTTTAAGGATTATTGGACTGGGAGCTTTAAAAAAAAAAAAATAAAGTAATAAATAAGATGGAGTTTTGAACACGGGTTCCTTCGTCAGAACCATTGAGAACTACTAGCATTCGTTATAAGAGGTTAGGATGGACTATATATGTATATATATTTTTCTTTCAGGGTGCTTGCTTTCTTTTTCTTCTCACGTCACGCGCGACTCTTTCTCGAAGGAACGAGGTCGCGAGCGTTCGCATAAAGGCCAGGACTGTCTTGGGGCGCGCTAAGGCACGAAACGCAAGATGCGAATAAAACGAACTGCGAGAAAGGATGCAGAGTGCAGTGTGCTATGCTTTAAAAATAAGAGAATTAGAATGTCTGAGTATTCAAATATATATATATATTTTTAACGAATTTATGAAAGATCCACCCAGCTGATCTGGATATCTTATCGTATTATTATAAACAAATATGAAATAATAATCGAAATTTCATGACTGTTCCAAAATATGATAACACACAAAGATTATTTTCTGCGTCTGACGCATACAGTCTGTTCAGGCTGGATGACACAAACGCAAACAATAGATATACGATACGCCTGACGTCTCAATTGTCTCCTTTTATAGAATTCATTATAACAGCAACATAAGAGATATCTATCGAAGAAAATTATCCTGCAACGGTACCGTCATCGCTATTATTAGAAAATGGCAAACTAAAATAAATCAAATAATTCATATACCTCCAGCGTTCCAAAGTCATTTCTGGTTTCCTCTAATTATTAACGCAAAGGCTACACACGTCCTGTAGTGTACTATAAAAGAATCGTGCACTATTCCTATTTCTCTCGTAAGCATCCCGCCGTGGCAGCAGCAATGAAAAAACCCCATATTAATTATTATCGGAGCCGGCTGCAACCGTACACACGTTGCATTATCGCCTGGCGTTCATGGTGAAGGGCACATAAGAGTTTTTCCTCGGCTGGCAACGTCTGCAATGTCATTTATTACGTAGTCAACCAGGCAATTAAAGTTAACTCGACTATCTTACTCCCGGGCCGTGTCCTCCCCAGTCCTAGCCGATCCTTCGCGGAATTTACTAAGTTAATTGCCTGGCGCCATCTGAGTTCCCGCCAGCGCACTACTACTCGATAGAGTAAAGTACAGTTCGGCGGACAATATCTCACTAGAGAAGTTTCTTCTCTATACTGAGAATAGTCCACGAGAGTTTTGTCAAGTCGTACAAGTTACCCAAAGGTATAACTTGTACAAGTATGTAGTATCCTGTTGCTAGGTGTCTAGTACTATCCAGTGACTGTAGCTACTACAAGGACCAGTGAATACTGGACATCGATTAGCGGACCTAATTAGGCAGGACTTCCGTAGGTGAAGGTTATGCAAGTTTTGCTAAATTGTCAATGTGACGTTTCCATTCAAACGTGAAGAACTTCGCTGTGTATATTTGGTACGTGATTTGAATTCGATAAGACACACTTATATTCAGGAGCCTTCTTTTCATTTTGACTGGCCTTACCAACTCATCATACACCGATGCTTTATTCTCGGACAAATCCTTTATCCCAGCTTTTCTCAGTTTTAAGTAACAACCACGAAAGACGTACACAGCAGTAGGAAGAAAAGCGTGGAAGACGCTCAGACTCGTCGTGGCTGCCGAACCTCGAGTAAATTCAACATGGCGAAGAAGTCTGGATGAAAAAGGAGGCTCTATGTTTTTGCATGCAGTTCAGGTAGTTATAGGTTATCTCTGAGCTTTAGTGTTTAAAAAGTAGAGCGTCTAAGAGGAAGTATCTCGAGGTACTAGACACAGTCGAAATAAAGGACGAAAATGTACATTAAAAAGGAGCGCTGTTCTAAGTACGTGCAATTTGGACGTCTATGCAAATTTATACACTGTCGAGACTTGGCTTTTCTAAGTACGAGCTGTACGGTGCTAACCTAAAAATAGCACGTTACCCATGTTTGCTGCATTACTCGGAATCAAGGAAGGATACGTACTCCGCCTTCTTCGAGTATACACTTGACATTCCTATATTCAAATACCTATAGGTACAACAGTCAATGCGTAAAAGCTACTCGCACTCGTCAGGATCGTAGCTATTTATTGAATATCCTTATCGATAGCATGGGAAGTCCCTCGTAAATATTTAGCCAGCCAGTAGAGGCCTCTGAATATTACATCGTCGGGACAACGCTGGACAAAGAGAACCGTCGCGGAGGTGACTAAGCGACAATATTATGGCGTCTTGCCGTTGGCACTATGCCACGTGCATCTATTATAAGTCTGGGTTCGTAACCTGTAAGTACCCTAGACCTTAACCTTACCTAAGAGGGAACGATACTACGTATATTGTCGGTATTCAATGATTTTCCCTAGGGAGACGGAGGACATTAACTAAAGTCTGTGCCTTTGGACTGTCATGGAAGTTATTGATAAAGTATCTGACATAAAGAGCGCGGAAACTGGTGCTAGATACGATGGGTTCGTGAAAGAATCTTGCGAATGCAATAATAAGATGCCTCGAGGCGAATCTAAAATTGACGTAACTATACCAGCTAAATATCAATTTGATCCAATGCCCGTATTCTTGTACGTATATACGTATAAGGCATTAAAGTTAGTTCTTCCTCTTTCCGCTACACTTCAACGATTCGCCACTGGTCATTAAGCTCAATTAGCATGGCCAATGTAGGACGTTAAAGAGAAATGAGGCACAAAGTGCTGGAATCCTTTATTCAAGGGAATCTCGTTGAAGCCAGGATCTATGAGAGGAGTCACGAAGCCAGCAGACGACGAAGTTACGAAGAATTTCCTGTGTGTTTGCTCGGCTCGGCCGTGCTATGCAAATATCACGTTCCTACGGTCGCTGCATGTAATACTCATAAAGGTTATCGTTTCTGCCCTTAAGGGCAGCATTCGATGCGTTCCTGCTGGAAGAATACACTGTGGGAAGCGTACGTAATGGCTGTATCTAACTTGATAAAGCAACGTAAAGAGAGCATATGCGACATGGGACATTAGATACCTAATACTTCTCCCCTCTCTATAATAGGGGTTTACGGTTACGGTTAAACCTAAGAAGTACCCGTAGGACTCGGATTTCTCTGGGCGGGATAAAGGTATGTATATGTACATTCAGACAATCAATGTCTACAGTGAGATATTGACAAGGTTTCTCATCATGGATCATTTACAGAAAATAGAAGCATTTTTTTATCACGGATCAGCTCCTTAATGGATCAGAAATAATAGCCTGGCGAAGGCGCATGCAGCATCTTCGAAGGATTTTATTTCTATGAAACCGCAAAAACGGTCTCTCACGAGATAATGTATTTTGGACAAAGATACATTGACATTTACTCGTCCGCAGCCCCAATGACGTGCAAGTATACCCTTTGAGTAGAAGTACAAGGGCTCTTACTGGATTTCTGATAACAATTAATTATTAACGATGGATTGATAAGGTATCGCAGGATTTCATTGAATGGATTCGTCAGCAGTTGTGCTCCAACCGAAGTAGAAAGGGCGATAACTCAAAGATGTGGTTAGTCGAAAATGGTAACGTAGAGGGAGTGCCTATCGGCAGTAGTGCCACCACGGGAAAATGGGTAATGCGCATTCTGTGTTCGACAAGAAAATCAAGAGCAATTCCTCGGAGCTTCAAGAGCGCAAGATAAGTATAGATACCCGGGACGGATACCCTTTTGAAAGTATATAGCGACGAAGAGAAAGAAATCCAAGGACCATCCACGAGATCTCATAGGGATGACAATCGCGTTAGTTCGATTCAGCAAAAATTCCATCTCGCGTAAGTTGGTAGAGTAAAAATTTCACGGGCCAAGAAATTCATCCTCTATACGTTTCATACGCTCTTAGGAAATCGTCCTTCGTCACTGTAGATATAGGTTAGGGGCTAATACCTATATAACAACCCTGGGATGAAATTGTGGTCGACAGGATTTGCCATGTCAGTAATATTATAAGGATCTAATCCCAAAGAATGACACTTTCCACGAATTGTGCAAAGAACGAGGACTCTGCTCTCTGGCTGTCTGACATCTGGCCGTGGGAGGCG